CGTTTAACTGAGACACCCTGTATATATATATGTATATATATGTATATATATATATATACATATACATGGGTCCTTATTTGGGACTGGAGAAAACAACCGATACATGCGGAAACGATAGATCGAGAATCCACTGTATTTTTTTTATTCAATAGTTAACTTTCGATCAAATCGCGGTAAGTGACGATTCCATAGATTTACTTAACTAATCTTTTTTCTTTATCACCTTTTTATACAGAGTAGCATGACTTACAACCAGGTGCAAGCATCTGGGTATTCTTCTCTTTCATCTACAGTTAAAATATGAATTTGAATTGTTTAAAGTCTTAGACAGAAATAATGTACTTTTTATGATGGGATCAAGCGGTATGGACAGGATTGGAGTCACTCGAGAATATGGCGCAACAAGTTTCGGTGGTGGACCCTCCGAACAACAAGGAAGCCACCCTCCCGGACCTGATGGATAGAACCGGGTAAAACATCGTGCAGGAAAACAGACAGCAGATATTCGGGCCTCCTCCCGACTGGAACGGGCGCCCCGCCCAAGGGCAGCGAAGTGTTCGTGGGCAAAATTCTTCCCGACCTGTACGAAGACGAGTTGGTGCCCGTCTTCGAAAAGATCGGGCGCATCTACGAAATCCGTCTGATGATGGACTTCAGCGGGAGTAACAGAGGATACGGATTCGTCAGGTACACCGGGCCGGCCGAGGCCAATAAAGCCGTCAGGGAAATGGACAATTTCGAAATTCGCAAAGGTTGCTTCATCGGGGTGGGCAAGTCGGTAGACAACTGCCGACTGTTCGTGGGCAGAATCCTCGAAAACAAGACCGAGGAGGTCCTGACGGAGATGAGGAAGGAGACCGAGGGGGTCGACGTCATCCTGTACAGCAGCGCAACTGACAAGTCTAAGAACCGCGGATTCGTCTTCGTGGAGTACGAGAACTATCGAGCCACCGCCATAGCCAGGAAGCTCATCCACCGCAAGATTCGGTTATGGGGCCACGATATCGTCGTAAATTGGGCCGAGCCCGAGGTGGACGAGGAAACCGTGTTCAAAGTTACTGTTTTATTTGTAAGAAACTTGATGCTCTCTTCAACCGAAGATAAAATTATAGAGATGTATTCTCCTGTTCCTTAAATTCCTTAAAAGTTGAAAAAGTTGGGGCGGGTTGCTTTTGTACATTATAACAACAGGGAAAATGCTGAAAAAGCATTGGATTCACTTAAAGATTATATTCTTCATGGTTCAGCAATACTTCTATTGCTGAACCATGGATGTCGGTTCTTTAAAAATTGAGGTATGGAATTTTGTGAAAGCAGGACCCCGCTTTCACAAAATGGCGATGCATTGCTTAGAGTAAGAAAAATTTTGATACTTTGGATTATGTAAGCGTTCGATTGGTCAACATCCAAGGAAATAATTTGTTTTTTATATAGAGGGCAAGTGTCTTGGCTTGCATTAAATTATAAATAATTTTTTCAATATTCTGAGGTATGGAATTCCATACCTGCAAAAATGTGAGCAGTCTTCCATACCTTCCATTATGGAAACGACACTCCTGAATAGAAGTAACCTGGGCAAAACCAGTTGCTAGGTCTACCAAACAAGGAAGTCTACCTACTTCCGAAGCAACTGTTAACAGTTATGGCCCATATGTATATAGCCAAGTTTTGATCCATATAATTATGGAGCCAGTATGGTTTATCCACCACTCCTCCTCCTCTTTAGCATGGAATTCCACAATCAAGAACTGCTAAGGGAAATGAATTGGGCACATATCTCGAAGAAGCAAAGCAAATGGGCGCTTCTGCGCCCATTTGCTTTGCTTTGCGTTCTAGTACAATTAGGTATATAGTTAGAAGGTTATTTATGTTTTTGATGTTAAATCACATCAGTTAGAAAAAGACATGCACTATTATCAGTTATGTTTAGAAGCTATTCTTCAAAAGTTTCCTGAAGAAAAAGTATTTTGTTTAGTACATAAAATGGATTTAGTTCAAGATCAAAGAAAATTGAATCTGATACTGAAAGTACAGTTAATATTCGTCGGGTGATTCAGTTATCGAGTTAATTGTCAGAGTTTGTGACAGATTACTAATAATAATCAAACTCCAGTGAAGAAAATTACTTTCAAAAGTTCTAAAAGTATGTTCGACAGTATAAAACCTAATACAACGAAAATGCCAAATAATTATGATGATGAACAAGTTTTAACACAACTGTTATTTAGGAACGTTGGATATTATAAGAATTTGACGAGAAGTTTAGTAAGGAGCAAATATTCAAGCAATCCTCGTGTTGGAGTTTGTATATATTGCAGTTTCTTGAATTTTCTAAAATGGAATGGCAAATTGGAAAAACCAAGGTATTTTTAAGTTATGTTCATGAAAGAAAGTTGGAAAATCAAAGAATAATACTTATTCGTGCTATCCCTATAATTATTCAAAAAACTTGGAGGGGATTTTTATGTAAAAGAAGCAAGATTATTAAAAGTTGTACGTTTTACCGCAGTAATCTGTTTCCATCTTAGATAAATTACTGTGAAAAAATGGCAGAAAACAACACTAGATAACAAATAAAAACTTTCTTTTTCCATGTATATAATACAAAAATCGGGCGACATGCGAGCGGAGCGCTACTACCGGCAAAAAGTGCCGTTTTACCCATTTTAGTTAGGCGAGCAGAGGTGGAGTGATCATATGATTATCTAGAGGTTTCAAGGTCGCATGTCACGTGATAAAACACATTTACCCTTCGTCATGTTTATGATCTAGCTTCCGCTTGCATAACTTCATGTGATTTGTTATTTGAAAAGGTTGGCAACGTTTTCTTTTTAAACAAACTTAATAGAACTACAATATTTTTAGATCAAGGGCAAAGTTAAGAAAGATGCTTTTCTGGCTGGCTATTCTTTCAGTCTGACAGGACGAAATGCTGTTTTATACGAAGAAAAAGTTTCATTACGTCAAGGTGTCGATCCATACGAAGCCACCACCACGCTGTAGATCAAGAGTTATGACCTAAAGTAGAATTTTACATCATAAACTATTTGGTTTTGACGACAAATTACTACACTCACAAATGAAAGCTTACAGATATTTAGAGGCCCATAAGTATCTTACAAGTGGCTGGATTTCTCCCGATTACGTGCTCTTTTATAACGCTCCCGATAAGCAGTTGGGTTGTGGCTACTCTCATATCCCATGTATAGTGTTGGCACCCAGTCTGGTGATGACTCATCATACAATGAGGAAGGTTTTCCTTTGGGGTAAAAAAATTGGTTTTGACAACAAATTACTACACTCTTTCACAAATGAAAGCTTACAAATCTTTAAAGGCCCATAACTATCTTACAAGTGGCTGGATTTCTTCTGATTACATGCTCTTTCATAATGCTCCTGATATGCAGTTGGGTTGTGGCTACTCTCATAACTACTTTGGCACCCAGTCTGATAATGGCTTATCATACAATGAGGAAGGTTTNTCAAGAACTTGAAGAGTACATTTAATGATTATTTATTACTAATGTAAAAAGTAGCATCTTAAAGAAATGCTAATGTTGCTCACCAAAATAGCCTAACTTAGCTATTTATAAGTGATCAATGGAAATTTTTGGTTTATATCTTTAAAAAAACACACACTTTTATTTATGTAAATTAGACAATGGAAGGTCAATTGATTCAAAATGCATTTCTAATTCTTCATCTAATGAGCGATTATTTTTACTTAACAATTTAATATTCTCTACTGTGTATTTATTAGAACACGATCATAATCTATTCAAACTCAAATCTGCAGTCGTTACAATTATTTTATTTTGTAGGTATTAACAATATTAAATTAACAAACGGACTTATGCAACCGGCTCGTACACACTTTACGATACTTATGCAAAAAGTTTATCTAACCATTTATTGATAACTAGAAATCTGATTTATCGCTTACCTGAAATGAAATGTTTCTGACAAACTCGTGTATTTACATTTACTTTATCCGTATTGAAATTTTTCCGGTTAATTCTCGAGAGCCATGCAGATTGCCTTCGCCGTGAAAGCTCCTCGGTTTGAGATCCTTGATGACAAATAATGCCGGGAATTTTAAAAAATGATGTTCCTTTGTTCTTGAGTGAACTAGCATTACACCCAATTACACAACAATTCACCATAGTGATATTAAAGACGAATAAACAACACGAACGCCAGCTAAACCGCGCATAAACACATTTTAAACGTAAACAAACCACAAAGATGGCGCCGGATAATTGTTCATGCTCGTGACGTCACTCGGGATGTCTACTAGAAATCTCTCTCCCGAACCATGTTCTCTAATAACCATGGTTCTGAACACGTGTGAAATTGATTAAATGTTTTCGACCAATCGGAGAACGACGGGAACAAAACGTATGACGTCTGACTCATAACGTCATAATAAGTAAGAGAGAAAGGGGGCAGCAGGCGTAGGTTAAATATCTGCTTTCGAGCTCTCACTAGAGTCAAATTAAATTGTGAAAATGACTTTAAAATTACATTATATTGCAAAATATCAAATTATTTTATAGTATAATCGAATAATCATTTAAATTAAATAGATAATAAATATTTAAATTATTCAGATTTCTTATTTAGGCCATCAGAGGTCCGATTTTCAAGATGGCGTCGTCCACAGTGGGTTTTATTTACATGCTGTAATTAACATAAATTGATTATTTTTTGATTTTATAAGTCATTTGGTAAGATATTGCTGCCGCAAAATGAAAGATTCGACTATACGTTAATACCATAATATTAATTATTTTGGTCTAAAGAACTTGTAATTATTTAATATCATGCAATACACAATTTATACATAAATATTTAAAGTTTTTGTAGACATCTTCCGTGGAATTTATAAATTTATTACGAACTTCAGAACTTCAGTGATGCATTTAATAATAAAAGTAGATTTATTTCAAATTTTATCGTAATCTGAGTCAATACTTAGCCTAAGTGTTGTATTATTGAAGCGCCTCAAATGGATAAGAAAGACGAATTAAAATTATTTGATTTGGATCGTTCGTTGGAAGATGATGAGATACTGACAGCCGTTAAACAGTTGAAAGTAGACGATGAAAAGCCAGAAAATAAGGTATGAAACAAATGCATGCTATCATATTTAAACGATGTTCGTAGTTTTATTTGACATGTATTCATTCATTTTAGGAAATTTCCTTAACGGATTCGTCGGAAAGATCGGCAATGTCGGAAGAAATTCAAAATTTTATAAAAGAAGTGATGAAGGTATATTCTTATTTTGAATTATTTTTACTTTGGCTGGAATGCATTTATGATTCTAAAATATGTAGCCAGTAAGATGTATACAGGGTCTGGTAAGATTCAAGCTCTGAATGAAGGGTTTTGCATCTCAAGAATTGTAGACTCCCTATATGAGCAAAAAAGTCAAAGGAACCATACCTGTATATGCAGTCTGTGTACGTGTGACCCTTTCTGAGATATTTGCCAACAAAAATCAGTTTTTAACATGTATCAGCAGACTGCCTTATTCTCCATGCTCCAATTGTCAAGGCTTGCTATTGCTTGCCTTGACCAACACTCCACATGTAGTCTTGCGCTTTGGTGCTCACTGTCACCCAGGTGGGGTGAGCCCCACATCCCCCTAAAACTATATAACATCAAGTACTCCACGAACAGTCGAGTGGGCTACTCAAAGCCAGCATAGTTGCTTGGGCTAAATCGGGTCGCCAAAGTGGTTGATATCAACCCCTGGGGGTTGATATCGACCACTATAACTCAATAACGTTATATCAACCCCTGGGGGTTGATATAACGTTATTGGGGGTCGATTATCAAGCTTAAGCTAAGAATAAGGGGGAGCTAAGGATCAAGCTTATCTGTCTCACTGATTGTCAGTTACAAAAATTATTACTAACAAATATACAATAAATAAAAAAAAAGCAAAATTAAAAGAAATGTATTAAAATAGTAAGTACTTTGTTTTGCTTGTAACACAAAGTTTTTAGTGGGAGTCGATGTGAGGTTTCGAAAACTTGTAGGGGGTTGATGATCAAAAAAGTTTGGTGACCCTTGGGCTAAACAGTTTAACGCAGTAGTCTTAGTGGAGCAACATGACTTGTGATCTCGTGCAACCTGATTTCAGGGGCTGATCTCACAAAGGGTTGCTTGTAGAGGTATGGTTTCTTTGACTTTTTTGCTCCTTTGGGTATTCTCTATAGCTCTATTAAGGTCCCAATTTTGTCATTTGGAGCTTGAATTGAGCCCAGGGGTCTTCCAAAAAGAATGCTATAATTTTAAATTATTTTAATTACATACAAGAATGTACATATGTTAAAACATTGTAAAACTGTCCAAGTTTCACATTCACCTGTTGTAGTTTCTCAATGCATGCACTTCATATTGGGTAGCATGCAGGGGCGCCGCTAGCTGTTTGAACACCCGTGTGCAATACCTATTATGCAGCCCCCTGTTTAACTATGACTACTTACGCTGAGCTTGCCAGAAAGATTCTTTAGTGTTGTCTCATAAGGGTGTGAAAAAAAAGAAATACTTTACAAAGAAAAACTATTTATTATTACTAAATTATTTTTGTTTATTTAAGTGTAAAACCATATAAATATTTATCTACAAAAATTGAACTCTTTTTGCCTTTATGTTTGCGAAATCTGCTAACAATTTTCTTGTATCCAAGCTGTCTAAGATTACATATTCAATTGAAACTACAGCTAAATTACTTAGTCTTTGCTGGTGCATTGTTGATCTTAAATAGTTTTTCTATAATTTTTAACTTTGAAAAGGACCTTTCACCAAATGCAACTGAAACCGGCAATGTAAGTAATATTCATAGTGCTATTGCTGTGTTCGAAAATGTTGAAATTAAATAGTAAAAAGATATTCTAATAGGGTTTGTGGATCATTAGACTGGTTTTCTGGAAAATGCAACTTTAAAGTATTGATTTCATTAAACAAATCAATACCGTCAATGTCTGCTTTACTACTCGAATCGTCTTTAAACTTCAGATTTAAATTCTAACCAAGTTAAAATATCATTAATTATACTTACAATGTTAGACCCATGTCAGAAGAATTATTATAGAGGTTACGGCCAACATTTTGAACGTGAAAATGTGTACGTCGGACGTTCAGCGCTGTTTTCCTATAAGCCTAGATGTTTGGCAATGATGATTGGGACGTCGAGCATGATTCCACTGACTATCCAAACACCATTGTCAAACTTCTAGGCTTATAGAAAAGCGGCGCTGAACGTCCGACGTACACGTTTTCGCGTTGAAAACGTCGGCCGCAACCTCTCTATTAACAAAATAATTGCGATTTGATATGCGATAGAACTGTTCGAATGCGTACAAGTACAAACTGAGAAGGAAGCTCTGTGTGGATTCCCTATTTTCGCTAGTCCTGTCAACTTCTGTCATAGAGCACGACTATGGGTACTACTTGGCTTTCGGGTGCCGCCGGATGATTCAACCTGCCGACAGACGTTTCGCATTGCATCTTAATTCTGATAAATGCGAATAGAGGAGCTGTTAATGCTATAATATAAATAAGAATACTGTATAGTAATTGCGCGCCAGTCGGAGTTTTTTCTCCATGTGAAGACATTTCTTATGCTATAACTAGAGTGGATATTATGACAATGACTTTCAATATTACGTGACCGATCGCTCGATTTGCCGCCCCCTGGACGTGCCGCCCGCGTGCGGTGCACGCCTTGCACGCCTGCTTACGGCGGGCCTGTCCTGGTAGCATGCATCCAACAGATACTCAAGCTCACTATGGCATTTTCATTCCTCCTACGGATTGTATTGCTCCAGCAGATTAATCATTTTGCACAATGATGAGTGATTCCAACTTTCTAAGATTCAATTTTGCCTTCACAAAACAGAACTCTATCTGTTGCAGAGTCTCCATTTTCATTTACAATGCTTTCTAGATGTAATAGATAACAAGACATTTGAATGCAGACTAGAGATGAAACTCAGACAGTTACTCTATCAAGGTGTACATTGCATATTTCTTGGATAATAATTAACATAATTACGGTATTAAAATTAAAGACAATGTCTGCCCAAAAGGAACCACCATTTATTTCTTGTGTTCCAGACTACACATTCATGGCGACAGACCTTCCTTTATAGGCTACACATCAGGGGGAAGTTTCCAAAATCTGCATTTTCCAGCACTTGTTTCAGTAGATAAAAGCAGAAACACCCCATAGGATGGATGGAAAGTAAGACATCTGTATATCACTAGTTCCTTTTTAAAAATTTTTTATAATTTTAATTGGATATATTTGTGTTTTTTAAAGGACTTTTTTTAAATTCTGGTGGCATGTAGCCTATAAAGGAATGTCTGTTGCCGTGAATGTGTAGTCTGGAACACAAGAAATAAATGGTGGTCCCTTTTGGGCAGACTTTGTCTTTAATTTTAATAATAATAATCTCCATTGGACAAAAAAATTTACATAATTATGGTACTTTAAAATAATAGCATTTATTTTGGAAGATCCCATATTTCAACTATGATTATATTTTGTTAGAGTAAGATAATTCATTAGAATTCTCAAAATTTCTATGAAATTTAAATGTGATTTGATTGTTCTATAGTTAATAATTGACTTAATGGATTCAAATAACAGCACTAATGGATTTATTTTTCCTTTTGTTTCAAATGAGGATTTTTTTTTTAAAATTACTTGAATTAAATGCTAATCCATTGTAATTAAACTGAAAAAATACTTGAATAATATTAAATAATTATTGGGCATGTATTTTTTTTAAATTCATCTGGAAACTAGCTTACACTCACATCAACTATTTTATAAGAATTTGTCCTAATTTAATTGTAAAAAAAGAAAAAAATTAATAAGCTAATATAGCACTCTTCTATTTTGTCATCTATAAGTAACTTGATGTTGATCATGTGCAATCATACAGTTTGATGCAAAGCGTTTGATTTTCTCCTGGTATAATTTGCCTTATGGCTAATAAGCTGCTCAATTAACTTTTAATTTTGACTTTTTATTATTTTAAAAATTGATGTTCTTTCATTACATTATCATCATGGAGGAAATGTCTTTGTTTATAAACTTGTTTCGTACTTCTTTCTTAATTTCATATAACTGTAATATTGTAAATAATTTATTTTACTTTTGTTTTTTTTTCTTTCAGCTTTCATTTGACATTTTAGTACTTTTTCTGCAATTTCCCCAATTTTTTTTTTCTAATGTTTGAGGGCTTTCAAAAGCACAAGTATTTTGGCTAATAAATGCCATGTTATGTTAATTTGTAGTATTATGCAAATTATTTTTTCCCTTTGATGACGAGTGCAATGAGATAGAAAGGAGTTAACCAAAATGATGAAGATGAAAGATTTCTAACAGTAAGTACATTTTTTTTCCCAAAATTACAAGTTTCCTTTTTTTTAGTTAAATTCCCAAATGAAAGCTTTACGGTACAGGAACAGTACCTTTGCTCGTATAACTATTGAAAATGATATTGCATGCAGGCCATTTGTCCTCATATGTTTCGCACACACAACAGTTGCAACTTTCTTATATCACTTGCAGATAACTAAACAGAAGAGTGCCATTGATATAGTAGATTTAAATTAAGGTAGATTAAGTGCACCATTTTGAGATGTACAAAAATACTTGCTGTATAATTATCAGTTATTTAATAATAATTATTGTGATGATGGTAAGCCTTGTTACAGAGGGAGAGACGTATGGTTTATATAATATTTTTGTCAATGCTGATTTATGCACAGACAAAAATACAAACTTTATAACAAAACAATTTTTGATTTTATATATACTTAGAATTGAGTTGCTAATTTTCCTGGGACTCACCAGTGGCCAAGCTGTTCTATTCCCTGAATGCTGGTAGTTTGGTTGTGGGTTCGCTCCTTGTTAGGATGGGCTGGCCACGTGGAATTTTCTGGGTTTTCTCCACATCTTCAATACCTAAATAGGGGCCAGTTACTCTTAAAAAGACTTTCTGGAAGGCATCCCCTAGGCAGATTGTCCAAGTGTTGCTTTACCATAACTAACAGAACAAACAGCCAACATTTTTGAACTTGCCAGGAGACTCCCAAAATTTGGGAATCTCCTGGCAAATTTAAATTATATGATTTTTTTATAATGTATAAATAATTTTGATGTTATCACTGGTTGCAATAAATACCAGTAATTAGTCCATGTGAGAATTCGAGAGTAGAGAACAATTTTATTTAATCAGTTAAAAATTTATCAATTAATCAACAATTTAAAGTAACATTTTTTGTCAAAAATGGTACATTTTGTCACTTTTTCTAGGAAAAGGAAATAAAACTTCCCTTGGAAAAGATGTTATGACACAGCTCTGACAAACATTTGGCTGTTTGACTCCCCATATGTCTTGTCAGATGATTTGAACTCTGACTCCTGATTGGAGGAAAGTTGGAATAAAAGGGGAAAAAAACCACGAATTCGAGGCAGTCGACGACAACAAGAAACAGCCATAATAGTGGCAGATGACAATAATAAGAAACTGCCATAGAGGAAGGTAGTCAACGATAATAAGAAACTGCCATAATAACAGGCAGCTGATGACAATCCAGGTCTGTCATAGAGACGGTCATAGACAGAAGCAGACAGTCATAGCTCCAACATAATCCAGCTCTGACCTCTCCTCTTACAGGCCATCTGCATCTCCATATCCGAAAGACCTCCATCAGCTGGATCGAATCAACCAGATCAGATATATAACTAGAACCTTTTGTAAACTCTCTCTCTGTCTCTGTGTTTAGAGGTATATGTAGTTAGGCATCGATATAACAATAGATTATTCCGTTATGTATTTTTTTATTATATCCATTAAACTCTTGTTTGTTATTTGTTAACCTGTCTGTTCACTTGGTTGAATACAGACATCTGGACCCACAGCAATTGGAACTTACCCGTGACTCTCCCCTCTTGCATTTAAGACCCTCCTATATTTTAAAGCCATCCAGTGACATCGTGAGCTGGTCCTATCAACTCAATGAATCAACAACTTGAGTAACACTCTCGTACCCTTGTATTCTCACATTAGTTTTGTAAAATGTTTCTTTCTAATCTTAATAGCACAAGGATCATGGCAGTCAGTTAACAGATGAAACAAAGAAATTCTTTCTTTGTTACAGAAATCACATTTAAGCATCATATTTAAAAGTTTAGCTCCAAAAGAATTTGAGTTAGTGAAAATTATATTACAGCTAGAAACTTTTTTAAAGCTTGGTTTAACATTTATGTGCGATGAATGAGGATAAGTTAGGTTATACCTCATGTAAATATAACTCCATGTCAATATTTTAGGGATGGATTTTAGAGAAAAAAATAAGTTTAAAATCTTGTATAAATCTTCCTCTATACATGTTTTTCAAGATCTGATCTGCCAAAAAAGACATTTTTCAAATTCCATCAAAATACAGTAAATATTGCCTAAGCTGGCCCTACCGTAATAAATGTAAACAAAGCCTTATCCAATTTAAGAATTTGTAGTATATCAACTAATTTAACATAAAGCTCCATTACTTCAGTATTGTTGTAGATTATACAGGAATGTTGTAAAGTCTGGAAACTGCTTTGGAAATTTTGGGAAATAGGATAGTTCAGCAAGCCTCGAAGTGAGTGGCCATCCACCAGCAAAGGGAGGAGAACAGACCTTCTCACAAAATTTTGTGCAAGCCCTAAGAAATCTCCGAGATGCATCGGCATGGAAATCAAAGTGTGGTATGGTACAGTAAGGAATATTTTGAAACAAGGAAAGTTCTATGATTGAACATCTCTGGCAATGTATAGATAATGATGGTGGATGTGTCAAATACATTTCATAGAGGTATAGTTCATTAATACTGAAATAGTGTTAGTAGTTTCCCATTGGTTTGACTTTAAGCATACCCTGTATAATTATTTCTAATTTTTACCTGTTTTCTTCATCTTTTCAATTTTTGAAATATATTCAAAAGATAAAAGCAAAACTTTATGAACATATAGAGAAATTTTCAATGTTTTATCTTACTTTGCCCAAATTTATGATTTGACACTATCATTTTTGGGTTTTGATGATTGTTTTCCTTGAAAGAAAGCCAAAAGTAAGAGGGTTTGTCAATTCCCACCAGCATTAAACAAGAAAATTTTGAGATTTTGTTAATCATGACAGAATATTTTGCACAAACAAAAATATCTTTCATGCCAACACCTTCCTGCTTCACAGCACCCCGTTATTCAATAAGCAAATTTATTTATAATGTTTTTATTAATACTGTTTCACAAATATTGAAATGCATTTAAAGTAACATTGTCCTAAATATTTTTCATATTATTCTTTTATAGATATGTAGAGGAATCCATTATCAGGTCATATTGATATTATGTATCTTATGATCCAGCACCACTTTCAGTGTGGACAGAATTACAAGAATGCACTTAAATTTTCACAACCACCACAGATTGTATTATGTGTAGTTGATGTTCATTTAGAGGGATTTCTAAGTGCACAAAATAGCTAAAAATTATTGAAATGTAGACAATTTCAGTTTACTTACATTTAATCTTAGATGTGGTATCAAGTGTCAACCCCAGTCAGTATCAATATAAGTTTGAACTGTTGCATAAACTAGATCCTGATGTTTCTATATGAAAGCAAAGGCTACATTCAGTAGGCTCAACAGTTCTAATTGAGTAGTAGTATGTAATAATGAATTATGAGTTGATGTGAATGGCACTACAGAAGCTTCTGCTCATCTCCACAAACTTAAAAAATTCAAAATAAGTTAAATTCACCCTTAAATTTATTTTCTGTATATATTATTAGTTGATGTGAATGGGACATTAATTAATACTATAGTTGCAGCAATCTTTGACCAGTTCTAGCTATCCAACATGTTTTTGTCAATATATTTTGGCAAATTTAAAATTTTCAATAAGAAAACTTTTTAAAGAACTAACTTGTTAACCTACTGACCACTCAGTAGATCAGTCAGTTGTTCTCTTAATTTTTTTCTTTTGTTAAAGTCATCTATATTCTATGCTTAACAATTGGAGGCTGTTGTATTGTTTATACTCAATTTCGACTTAATTAATGAATTATTGTAAATTTTTAGTTAATGGTAATATGGAAATAACATAATAAATATTTCAGTTTCAGTATTTTGAGTTTGAGTTGATTAAATATTTAATTTTTTTCCTAAAATGATAGCCCAAATTGAAAAGCAAGATCGTATCTACCGATTAATTGATATAGTAATTTGCGTCATTAACTAATATGCACGTGTTTTTAAAATAGAATTTTGGGGACGCTCCGGCTCTTCCCGAATGTTTGAAGTTCTGTTCGCGACGTGCCTGTCGATTCGAAGTTCCCGCAGATCTTAGAAAATTGCAAAGTAAGTACGAAATTTTTAAAATAATAAAATTGGATAAAATAACTGCCGAGGCTAAATGACATTAAAATAATTAGTACAATTTATCCATTTTCTGATAATAAATATCTTTTTAATATAAAAAATTTCTCATTTAATTAATGACAACAAGCTCAATTATAACAGCACATTTTTTGGATGTAGACATTATATAATATATAATCAGTGGTTCCCAGGCTTTTCCCACAACCCCAGCATTGAATCAAATACTATATCCACACACAAAATTTTGATAAAATTTATATTTTTTGAAAGAAAAGCGTCAAAGAACATTAAATTTAAATAATCTTTTCAATGGTCTTGCATTTTATCGCAAAGATCCCTAAATCGAGGTTCAGTTTTTGAGATATTTGACAGAGTTTCTTTTTAAAAACTCGATAGGGTTTTGACAATTTGCCTCGAGTTCTAATTTTATATAATTTGTAACAAAACTTTAGCAATGACAAGCATTCACCATTATGTATAAATTCATCAGCATACTTTCTTTTTATCACAATTGTGTTTTCTGTTAATGTTAAAAATACTTTTCAAAAAATAACTAAACTCTCCAATGTTTTCGTCTGTATTATTTTAGTTTTATTGTTTTTGTGATTGGTATAAGTTTATTAAGAAAAACTGCTGTATTAGAGTCTATCGGTCTGTATTTCTGGATAAAACAACGACACAAATATATTTTTTGTCACAAAAACTAATTAGCATACAGCCACTCCTCATTACAAGTTTTCCAGTGCAGGGAATATTCTATCTTAATCTTAGTTTAGTTCCTGTAGTTGGGTCAGTATTCGCTTCACGAAGCCTTCTCAATCTCCAAGACTACATATTTCATTCATAAACTTTTACTTTTTACTTTATTGTGCATCTCATTTGAACAATTTGACAACTAAAATATTAATCCGAATGAACTTTGTACCAAAAAATTAATGTTTTAATAATTTTTGCTGATTGCATTTGTGTGATTCCCATAATTTGTAAGGGATGCAAATTAAAAAACAAAACTCCAACTTGATAATTTTGTATCTAGAATAAATAAATATTAAAATAGCCTAGTTGTAGTAATGGAACTTGGTTGTTTAGGGCGGTGTGCCTGTATTTACTTTTCTTATCTGAATTTGTTTAATCTTCATTATTATGTATGTAAATATATAGAGTTGCAATAGACTACATTGAATTTGCACCAATTTTTTTAAATGAATTTTTGTTAAAGATGTCATATTTTTGAAATATTCTAAAGATCGAATGCCAGCAGAACTGGATAAACAGAATACTTTGTAAAATCAGTTATTTTATAGAAAAGTTATATTTGAAAACAAAGAATTGCACATTGCAATGCATATGTGACTTAGGTGGGAAACTATCCACTGTTTCAACATGATGATTATTTTTTCTTCTGTTTTTAGAATTATTGCAGAGATATTTGCATATATTGCCAAAGTGATCAGTCTCTGGACATGCATCACATGATAGCTAAGTGTATTAATTTTTCAAAACTACGTGATAGTATTTTTGGTGTTTCTACTATTTCTTTTGAAAAAGTTTTGGACCTTATTGTTGTCATTTGAGTAGATTGGCACATATTTTGATTTGTTTTGTGTTTCGGATCAGTTGTGCAGAGGCGGCATTATTTGTTTTCTTTAAACGTGTGTTCGAGCCTAAGAAATTTGGGAGACTATCTGCCGTTTTGAATTGATAATTAATTTTTCTTCTGTTTTTAGGTAAGATCTTCAGGTTATTATGTCTCGGAGTAAAGAGGACTGCCGACTGTTCCGGAGAGAACAATAAGTAGGCCAAGAGTGGGTAGTCCTGGCCAAGATGAGGAAGACGGGGAATTATTACAAGATCAAAATTTTGATGTAAAAGAGGGATTTCGATTATTATTGCACATGCATGTTGCTCTTAATAGTAAAGTTGAAGAGTTTATAAGTCGATTAGAACATCTCACAGAATGGATTAAGAATGTGGATGAAGCACTCGTTGATTTTGAGGCAAGATTAGTTGATATCGAGTCAAGGGTAGGTTCAATTGGGTCAGAGAAGGGAAGTTCCTTCACTGTTGATAATATCTGTAAGAAATTGTTGAATTTGGAACAGGAATTCGAATTTGGACAATATCGATAATCAATGAAGAATTAATAATGTAGTTAGTTATACACGGATTAGAGGAAGGAATTGGTGAATCAGCGATAAACTTTGGAGGTAGCAAATAAGCCATCGTTGCAATATGCAAACACTAGAGTGGAAAAAATTTGGAGACCTTTTTGTTAATCTTGTATCCAAGTGATTCACTTCCGATCCGTATCTCAATCCTTCTCCATCCTGAATCCGATTGTCCACGCACGTGACCGCTCACGCAAATTCAGAAGTTGCAGTTTCTGTGTCTATCCTGAAGACAGTGGTGTCGGTCCTGATGAGGCAGCAAAGAGGTGCAGACCCTCTGGTCACATAAGCCTAGAATAGTGATTTGTCAATTTGGTTCCCTTAATGATAAAACGACAGCTTTTGAGAATCATAATTTGAATGTATTTGTAAATGATGATTTTTCACAATGAGTAAGGGACATTAGGTATAAGTTAAGAATGTTTGGAAGACAGAAGAAATATGAAGGTGCAGGTAATATTTATTTGACTTATGATAAAGTAATCATTGATAGATTGAAACATGGATTTGATAAGGAATCAGGTAAAATTATCCCCATTTCTACATAGCAATCATTAGTTTGGTTTACCTCTGTTATGGCTTATAATTGTATAGGTATCAAAAATAAACCAAATTCTTTTTGGAAATATTTATCAAAATTTGATGTAATTTTTTTGTCTGAAACCTGGTATTTTTCTAACAGTAACGAAAGTAATTTGAAGGTATTAACGGATTACAATTGTATTATTGGCGATGCATTTAGGGATTTTAATAGGGGTAGATTTAAGGCTGGATGGTTGTTATTTATTAGAGTATGTTTGACATTTAATGTAATTTATAGAGATAGATTTTTAGTTTTGATTTAACATTACACTTCATGTGGGTGACTTTTTGGTGTTTTGATTATATGCAAGAACAAAGTTTGTGGGAAATTTTTGAGATTTTAATTAATTTTACTTTAATGAAGATTCTAATTTGATTATTTTGGGTGATTTTAATGCTTGTGTGGGTGAAGGAAATGTTATTTACTGATGGTATCTATGATGCCTTTCATATTAATGTTGATAAGAGGTAGGGTATCCAAGGATGTTATCATGAATAGTAGAGGTCAGAAGATGCTTCAGTATTGCCTTGATAAAAATTTAATAATCTTAAATGGAAGAATGTTAGATTTTGCCTGCTTCATCACCTATCTCTCTAAATTACATACATTTGTATCTAACTTGGAATGTTCAGTTATTGCTTTTGGTTTAATAACTCAATGTATTTGGTGTTCTGTCAGGTTTTTTTTTTTTTTTGATGATTGTTATTTCTCATACCATTGCCCTTTGGTATTGTGTTTGGACATTCCATTGTAACTTCAAGTTGGTATATTAGTATCTTTTACAAAAGAATCGTTAGGAATTGCAAGGTGATGAACAGTTTTGTGTGTGATCTTGAGAAACATTTGTCAGGGAGATTGCCTGTTTCTTTGTCATATGTAGATAAGCTAATTGTTATAAAATGAATTTTAAACCAAAAGATCACACCAGCATTAATAATTGGTTTTAGATTGTTGTCTAATGATTAGGAACCAGAAACAGAGCCTGGTGAGTTTTTAAAAAAAGTGGATCAGAATTACATCATAAAATATTTGTTTTATTTCTTAATTTAGTTAAGAAAATTTGTATAGCCAAGAAGAAAAGATTTTTGTATATGGTATGGAATTCTGGTATTTTCCACAAAAACAATATTGGTTTTGGAATCTATGTAAAATTCAAAATAATAGAAGAGTGAATATTTCTTTGTAAGTGTGGTTTACATATTTTTTTTCTATATATGGTTCTTTCCATCCTTATACTGTAAACTTAACAGTTTTTAATGAGTGTTTATCATGGTCGGATGAAATTTTGGATGCATATACAGTAGAACCTCGATTATCCGGACTAATTGGGGATGAAGTTAGTCCGGATAAGGAAAAATCCGGATAATCGAAACAGATACTTTGTCTTTTAATGATAATACAACACGTTTTCTTTTCGATGACATATCGGTAATATTAAAAGTAAATACTGTATTTAAATCGTGATCAAATTTTCAAGAAACAAACATTTGTATTGAATTTGTACTACTACTGACCAACTCTAACAGACTACCTAGTGTTTAAAAGGCCCTCTGGTGGCGCAAGAAGACGGATTTTATAAAATAAAAAGCAGTTGAAACAGCATTTTTATGAATAAAAATTTGACAAACTATTTATCGTTTTATGACGAGTAAAATTTTTTCGTCGCGTTCGCGGTTTTTAAGTAATGCATAAACCTTCGAGGCGCGAGGCCCTTCGGACCGCGAGGCATAGGCGGTGGCCCACGTCGTCCATGCCTTACGCCGCCCTTGGTCATAGAAATGATGTAATTTGAATATAAATTATTTATAAATACGTATGTCAAGTTATATTTTTATTACTACGTAAAATATATTTAAGAGTTTACGACCACTGTGCTGGGTGAGACGTTCTTGAAACAAAAAAAAGTTATGCATTCCATCACGTACATAAACAGTATCGTAATTCGCCAAGTGCAAATCAGCAAATTCGTAAAATTTTTGTTTATTTTGAACAATCCGGATAATGTAGGTTCTACTGTATTTTGAAATCTGAGCCGAGTCGTGTGTTAAGTAAAGTAAAAGTTGGTTCTTTGCCCGGTGCTAATGGTATTCCCTCGGAATTTTGGAAGATGGATTCCGTTTTCCATTATTATTTGTTTTAATAGGATTTTGAGGATTGGGAAGTGCCCTTTTGTGTCCAGTATATAAAAGTGGTTCTAAATTGACTCCTAGTAATTATTGGGGAATTTCCTTACTAATTTGTGTTTCAAAGATTTTTTGTAGAATACTGTATTTTTATTAACTTTGTTAAATTTACATGATATTTTATCAGACTAGCTTTTGCAAAATCCAGTCTACTATAGATAATATTTTCATTTTACATACTCTCATCACTAAGACACTAATGAAAAAAGGGCAAAGTATATGCTTTCCTTGTCGATTTGTCTTTGGTTTTTGATACTGTAGATAGGAATCTAATGTGGAGAATACTGTGGTTTGAGTTTTAAATTTGTCTCCTTGCTGAATTATATAGAGAATCAAATGTTAAATTAAATGGGGTTGTTTTTGCTTTCAGTCTTATTTTACAGACACTGGGTGTCAGACAGGGTTGTGTTTTGAGTCCAATTTTGTTTAGTTTGTATTTAAACAACTTAATTGAATGTATAAATAATTCTGATTATGAAGGTATTGATGTGAATGGTACTAATGTTAAAATATTAGCATATGCAGATGATATAGTTTTGATTGCCAATTCCATTAAAGGTTTACAGGGATTTAACATTTTAGTTAAGTATTTATTAGAAAATAATATGAGATTGAATCTTTTAAATTCTAAAGTAGTCATCTTTCATAATGGAGGTAAATTTTCTAAATGATAAATGGTGGTTTAGAAATGAAATAATTCAAGTAGTTTCGCAGTACAAATATCTGGGTATGATATTTAAATGTAATGGAAAATATAACTCCCACATTCAGATCTCTAACAGGAATGCTTATATTAAAACTAATAGGGTTATTCAGATCTGCTATGTTATGTAATATGAATGATTGTCTGAGGATTTTTAATGCAGTTGTTACATGCTTCTGAGGCATAAGGTTATCAATCAAATGCTTTAGATTTTGTGTTGGCTATGTTTATTAAAAAGTTATTTGGCTTATCTTGGTGCACTCCAAAATATTTAATTTTTATGGAATGTTTGTCATTGCCTTTTTCTTTTGTAGTTTTAAATAAGTGTTTGAATTGGATTTTCAGAACAATGGAATTGGATGAAACTGATGGAGTAGAAGGTGTTTATGTTATATTCTAAATAAGAATGACTTTTTGTGGACCAAAAATTTTAGGAATAACTGTATTAATAATAGTATTAATTTTGATGAATTATTAAATAATTATAACTGTTGCTGTTTACTGAAATTATTTTGATATTTATATTTTGGATTTGAATTCTTAGAATAACTGGTATAAGGATTTAAATAAATCATTTTTTGATAGTTTTGTTTCTAATATTAGTTCTATGCTAATGCAAGTTAGATGTAATTCTCTTAATTTTTTGCAGAGATATTTGCATATATTGCCAAGGTGATCAGTCTCTGGATGCGTATCACGTGAAAGTCACAATTGCAACTTTCCTGCGTATCTACACTAGTTTCCCCGATACGAAACATGAGACGGCTTGCGCTAGCACGTCGATGTTAATGACTTTTGCTCTACTGTCCCAGCACTTGAACAGAGGTTCTATTAGGAAGGCTATTAGGAAGTTCAATAATTTTAATCATAGTGTAATGAAAAATTAAAGTAATAACAAAAACTTAAAAGGCATAATTCTGTTGAATTACAATATTTTTTTAAAATAGTGTAACATATAATTTTAATTTTCAGCTAGTGTCATGGAAATTAAGTTTAAAAAAATACTATCTGTTCTGAGATGTTATTTTTTGCATAACTTTTATATTATAAAAAGGCTTAATTTTGAGAGTAGAGACAAGTTTTTAAAAATATTGTAAATGCCTATAATGAGTAGAATTTTCCTTAAGTCTTAACACACCTCAATCTCCCACCCAAATTCAGTTCCTTTAAGTTCAAGTTATCATGCCAAATTTTGTTTAATATTTCAAGATGGGGAAGATGCCAATACACAAATGCCCTAAGAATTTTTTTCCATTTTTATACTTTTTTTTGGGTCCCAAAATGTCGATTTTCAAAAATCCAAGGGTCAATTTTCACACAATTATAATACTTTCCAGTTATGTTACAAAAGGCAAAAAAAGTAAAAATAAAAATCAAACACAATGAAAATCTTTTGAAATGTTTATGAAAAGAAGTTTGTACAATCCCATAAGAAGAATTTGCAACTCTGAGTTGTACCTCTATTTGGAAACTGCTGATAAATATAATGGCAATTTAAAAAATTTTTAAAAATATTTCTTTGCAAATGTACACTGAACAATATTTATCTTTTCCAGATTGTTCGCCTGTTGTTTATCTTCAGAATTACTGTATTGTGGAAAAGAATAAAGCATTAATTTATAAAAAATATTTTGAACTCTTTGAAAATGATGCTTATATTAAATCACATGTAAGTTTTGATTTTAATAAAATATTTTTTATATTTCTGTTTAAAAGTGACATGCAGTGGGAGGAAACAATAGAACATTGTTGGGGATTCATTCAAGAGTATATTATATCTACCTCATCTCCTATCCAGAATGAACAAATTCAAAAGCAATTGCATTTATGCTTGACAAAAAAACTTACTCACCCAGACAGAACTGTATGATTATGGTACACACACAATTTTTTTCAGTCTCTTAATTACCTGACATACCCCTGGATGTGATTGCATATGCACTTCTGTTTTCATGAAAATGTTAAACAATAAAATGTGACATAAGACGTGATTATTTGGTTTCTTTTCTGTGTACAGTATTGTGTGGCAGCATGCAATATTACTTGCCTGGCTCCAAAAAGCATTGTTACTGAACAAATCATTTGCTGCCTTTAGTCCTTATACTCTTGCTAATCTGGCACTTTTCTGTAAGGAATGGCTGGATTAGCAAGTCAATTGTACCAAAACTTATATACAGCTAGATCTTGGACAATATGTATACATTTCAATTGTAATCTAATTGGTGGCATTACCTAGAACGTAGTGTGCCTTAAAATAGCTACCCCAGTATTCTGTAAAAGACTCTCAGAAACTCGGTGTACTTTTTTATTGTTTGGGGTCTTTGAATGCTGTGTGTTTCAATCAAAGGCATTACGTGCAGCTGAGGGAAGCAGAATGACCATTTCACAAATTGTCTGCTATATGGGCCATTCTGGCTTGACTGTAAGCAAGCCAGATTGGCCCATATAGATACATGTGGCCGGGCTTTGGATGATCCAGACCACCAGAACAGATGATTGCCCAATTACGAGACAGTTTGTACTTGACCATTGGCAGACAACCACCAGAAACAAATTGTGGTATGGCAACCATTATGCATCCTGGCAAATGAAACTGACATTGCTGGCTTCCTTTGCAGAAATTTCTTAACAGAGAAGCAAGGACTACTATGGACAGGTAGTGTCTTATACTTTACTATTGAGCAGCACATTGCTCTGCAAAACTATCTTGTATGATAGTAGTAGTAGGGGTGGTGCAAAGGATATCAATGGCACAACACACATTAAAGAATCCCATGCTCTAATGCATTATTTTTTGTGGCAGAATCACAAACAGCCATTTTCTAGCAAGATAATTCTTAATTTTTGACCATATGCAGCTAAGATTCCCCAAGAATCTGTCACATTACTCACTATCTTAGCCTGTCTGGTTTCCAGATTTGTCAACCATTGAGCATTTATGGAACTAGGCAGAATACCGGCTACAAGTGTAAGGGATCTAGAATGGCAATCACAATATCTGCAAGAAAATTCACCACAGAATAGCATACGATGTCCACATTCAGGCAAGAGGACGTCCTAGGTGCTAAAAATTCTTTCACAGGGGGATGCTTATGTTGCTCGATACTTGGATACTCCTGTTTCTTTACATTATATCGTTACACAGTTATTAGGAAAGGAAGAATTTCCTGGTATGGGATTACAATATCATAGCATTGTTGCTATGTTCATACTACTAGTTTCATTCAATTCCCAACACTTCTCTTCCATGCATAATTCTTTTTATCAATAAGTGTAGGTATAAGAAATTGGCTGTTTATATAACATTCAATATATACATTACAAAATATCAAAAAAGAATTTATATTTTAAAAAATAATAGTAAATGGAGAAATAATATAAAACTCTGAAGAAAGGGTTAGTGTAAAATCTACAAGAAAGAATATTAATTTTTTAATAATCTATATTTAAAGTAATATATTATTAAAAAATGAGCAATTATTTATTATGACATTAAAACTTGCAACCTGGCATTGTGACAATCTTCTTCAAATTACCTGATTAAAACAGTACTTAAACTTAGTCTTGCAGGCTTTATCAAGATGTTTTGGAATTTAAAAACATTATTACAATGCAGTAAAATACTGTATTTGTTCATATTTTTGCAATAAATGAGAGTAGTTTTGAGTACAGGTAACCCTCGTATAACACAGGAGTTACGTTCCAAAAAATTGCCATGTTATGTGAATCTGTGTTGTACAAAACAAAGAACTAGTGCAAAAACATGCTGTTAAATTCTTATTTAAATCGGATTTATTATTCATTTTTTTCATAGGTAAAATACTTATTTATTATTTAAGTAAATATTTTACCAGAGGTTTATTCATCCTATATGATGATCTCAGCATGAGCATCATCAACTGGTAAGATTTTGGGTGCGGTCGTTAATAGTGGTCGCTCTGCAACGAGAGTGCGCTGCTATTTGTAGGCATTTAGGAACAACGGCGAAAGAAAGATGGTGGCGCCCGCACTATCAATAGTATCGTGATGGAGGAAGCTATAATTCTAAAATGAGCTTTTAGAGGCAAAGAAGGGTCACAATTGTAAAATATAACCATTAAATGGATTATTTGTTGAAAGAGCATTCAAAGTAGCCACAAAACAATTAGAATGCTCGCGTGGAGTTACAAAAGAACGTACCCTTTATTACATTTCATGTTGTACAAGGGTTTTACCCAATTCCCGAACCGTGTTACAGTGAACCCGTGCTATAAAAACCACCGTGCTATACGGGGGATGTTCCCAATTCTCGAACCTTGTTAGAGTGAATCCGTGCTATAGAAGTGCAGTGTTATATACGGGGGGGTTAGCTGTATTTCAAAAAAGTCTGTAGGTGGCCTTGACTTATTTTTTTAAAATTCAGCATCCATTGCTTAATAGAATGTGTATAAGTATAAAACATTTAAGTATTTCTTTTAGTCTCCAAAATCACTTAGTCAAGTTCAGAATGTAAGGAGTGAAAAAATAAAAAATATTCATATATTTTTAAACATTTTATAATAATAAGTAAATAATTTAAAATATATGCTCTCCACCTCAAATTAATAGTGTCTTACCCCTGTACACAATACTTTTCCTGTTAGCAATAGAGTCGTGCCAGTCATCTAACTCCTTTCAGGAGAAAAATTTTGAATTGAAATTATAACAACTTCTGATGCAAACCAGAAGTTACATTTAGTTAATCTGGGTCTCCTGCCCCCGAGCTTTCCATATATGATCTCAGCTTTCATCTATGTAACTCCATTCTTGAGATTAAAGACAGACAGACAGGCAACGACAGTGGGAATTTATAGGTCTACAATTTTTTTCAAATTACAACCAAATTATTTATTTAAAATAAAAATGGTTTGATACGTATTCTTAAAAACAAAGTTTTGACAATTGTTCATAGTAGGAAACACAATCGTCTGAATACCTTGGTTAATTTAGCAGACGTTTTTATGTCATACCCCATAGAAATATTGCCGAACTGTCTAACTTGTAAGGTAGAATTCCCAGCATGGCCAAAATCACATTTTTGTAAGCAAGTTAATCTTTGTCTACAAAAAGCGTTTTTAGTTTTTTTTTTTCGTGTTAAGCAAGCATTTTAAAAGTGACACGTGACTTAGAATGATGTTAAATGAAATGATTTTGATAAATCATTCAAGATAGAGCATTTCAAATATTACTTTTGTTCTAAAGAATCCATTGCCAGTATGAGTGATTTAAAACACCGAGAATTAGGAATCAAACATTTCATCCACACTAAATCTGAAATTGTTGTCATTTGCAGAAAGCTGTTTGATAAATTTGTTTATAATATATGTTAAGGTTTTAATTATCAGATAAATAAATAAAAACAAGAACTTATACTGGAATGAATAAATAATATAAAATAAAATAAACCTTTAACTATCCAGCAATAAAAATGCTTAATAAAAACGTTTTCAACCATTTTTAAACGGCCATCTTCAGTTGAACCAATATTAAAAAAGAACGCATGAAATACAAATTAAACAGAAACCGAAATGCACATGCGTAATTCATCGGACTTGCGTCTTCTGAAAATTTATATATAACTTGCAAATAACATAAAAATAATAAAGCCGCCAAAAAAGGGGGGAATATACGTTGATTACAAGGTGTTAATCTGCATTATTGTAAAAGGATTTCCAGGCGTAAGATAACCCTTCTGCATCTCTATGATTAATGCATCCCTTATTTATGTGTACCTTGTGTATCTCTATCTTTTCCAGGTGTTTCACTGCTTGTTTGGAATTCGTGGCTCTAATGATTGCAGCTTGATCCCAATATACCTTGACCTCTTGCTGTTTGGCAAATGCTGTGAGCACTGTTGCATAAGGCCTCATAATCCATCATAGTCGTATATTCTTTATCTTTAAGAGAAATGCATATCATCTCCTCTACTAGTTGTAACGAGTTTTTAATGGAATAGGGTGATTCTTGTATCTTACAACTTATAAGGCCTTATACCCTTCAATAAAGTTACCGCCATGTTTTTTGTGCATTAAGAGATTTCCTTTTCACTAACATAAAAAATGCAAGGAAATACCACAAGCAAATTTTAGAGCTGGCCAACTTAGTCTGTTATACATCATTTTTCGATTTTGAAGAAAAGGCATATCTACAAGGAAGAGGTGTGCCAATGGGTAGCCCTACGTCTGCTGTATTATGCGAATTAGTCTTGCGTCAGATGGAAAGCAATATCCTGCCCATGTTTCAAAATGAAATAATATTATACTCAAGATATGTAGATGATATTTTCATCCTATGGAGAAATGATAATAACGTGCAATATTTTCTAAACACAGTCAACAATAACCCATATGGTTTAACTTTGGGTCTAGAGCAAGATAGTAGTAGTAATATTAACTTCCTTGATTTATCTATCAAATGCAAGGAAGGAGAAATCTGGACAGAAATTTATCACAAACCAGTTTATCAACCTATTATTATTCCCAGGAATTCCATCGATCCTAGGCACATTAAATATGTAGCGATTCGGGCATGGATTAAACAGGCATATATGCATTGCACGAGTATCTATGATACTTACAAAGAGTGGGATTGCATTAGGAAGACAGCAATGCAGCAAGGTTATCGGAGGTGGGAGGTGGACGAGCTTATTAT